ATGCAGAGGAGACATCCAGACCATCTCCCTCTATTCTAGCGAAATCACCATCCAAGTCAGAGGAGATTCTTGCTCCTGTTCTTAGACCCCCTCAATGGAAGCCAGTGCTACAGCTTCTCTCAGTATCCCTTTTCAAGACTAAGTACCCTCAGGAAGATTTTCCTTTATATGCAATCAAAGGCCCTCTTGTTCTTCCCTCCTTAGACATAGAGAAGAAAAATGGCTGATTATCGTTTTTGGTGTGAGAGCCCTTCTGAGCCTGGAAGGTTAGATCTATTTTCTTCCTCTTCTCAAGTAAGAGTCACCATAATTACTATCCTTGATTTTTAGAGAGGCTTCATTTTTCACAGAAGAACAAATTCTCAAGCACTTTTGAGAACTTAAAGTGCTAACACAAGTAAAATAACTATCATGTGTGAATCATGAGCCGGAGAAAAAATGTACTATAGCTATGGTTTTCCTCAGGTTCCACTAACAACATCTGACCAGGGAGCTTCCATTTTAGAACAATTTTGACATGGGAATCACTTGAGATCAATCTTTCCCTGAGTATTTTCTTTATTAAATGAGTTGGGCTAGGTGCTCTTTAAGGTCCCTTCCAGCCCCAGATCCATGTTCCTATGGGTCTTTCCTATTTTTAAAATGGGGAAATTGTCTCCAGAGTGCTGAGAAAAGAGTTGAGGATGGAACTTTGGAGAACACTGGCTAAATGTAAGAGGAAGAAGAAGGGATCACTGAGGAAGATAGCAGAGTATCTAAAGAAGGAGGAATATTCATTCAGAGAGAAATGCTGAGGAGAAAAATGGACACAGATATGTATTAAGACTGCCAATTAAGGAATGGTGCTGCTTCAAGAAGTATGACCTCTTGCATCAAAAAGGAATGTCAGCTTTGAACTCAAGAAAGGACTTAGAGTGACCAGGAGCTATGAATTCATTTTTCCCTCCCACAAATGTATATGATATATGTGCCTCACCACAACAGTACTTTATTACAGCCCACTTTTTCCCATTGACCTATGCGTACTTTTGGGAGAATGTGTCCCAGAATTGGGTGGGGCAGTATTTTATACCGACTGTTTTTACTGTGCTACCTTAGTAAATATTCTGCACTAAAAATTAATTATATCTACTAATCAAAATGGGAAGCATACCTATGGGGACTCATGAGCAATAGTACTAGGAAATCTTAAACTGAACTTTTAAGGAGGGTAGTAGTCAGCTGACCTCAGGAGACCCAATCTGATGAAACAAGTGGGAGTTTTCAAAGTAACCCCACAAAGGGTTCTACACTATGATTCTAAGGATAGTGAAGACTGTGTCTCTTTTCTATTAGATCATTCACACTGAGGCCTCTCTTCCGTTGTTCCCCTCTCATTTTTCTCCCTTCCCTCCCTTCCCTTCCCTGCCCTGAGCTTCATTTAAATTATCATCCTATGATATTCTGTCCCTGCTTTCTTGAGAGCTCTCTGATCTTCCTACACCCCAAAAGCTGTCCACAGCCTCCCTGAAAAAGAAAATAAGGTTCTTGCTGTGCTGACTTCTTTCTTAAATTCAATGACTTCCTATCATCACCACTAAAAACATTGATTTCTAATACCTTTATAGAACCCACTTTGACCTGCCTAAAAGTCTCAACCCCTTAGATTTGAGAAATGTTGAAAATGGGATATGCCCAGGATGTGATGTGGGAGCCCTACTAACAACAGATTTCCTTGGGTAGGCAGGCTGCCCTGGGAGGGTGAAAAGCAGTAGAGAAAAAAGATGTGGCCAGAATACAGAGCAGGGAAAGTGCCTGTGGTTTAGAGAGAACAGTAGCCAATGCTAAGTCTGTACTATCTGGCTGGGAGTTATTGTCCCCTTGTGTTCTGGACTTGTTGACCTTCAAAAAATATTTTGTCTCTTTGTTTTCTTGAGAGCTAAGAACACAAGGATGATTATTTAAGGCATGACTCCATATTTTTCTGTTCTATTCATAGGTTAAACATTCATTTTATTTGTTATTAAGTTCAGAATTTTTAAAAATTAAATAAAAATTAGTTTTACTAGAACTAGACTAAAATGTAAAGAAACTGCCAGAAATAAAACCCTGATCTCTATAAAATATTCATAGCAGTGTGATTTGGAGTAGCAAAAAAAAAGGAAGAAAGAAAATCATTTTTTTCAGTGATTAAAGGATGATTAAAAATTGTGGTACATTAAAATAATGAAAAATTATGTACTGTAAGAAATTACAGTATGGTAAGTATCATGACATAATGGATGGGGAACAAGGAACTTCCCTGAAGCAAGAAAGACTGGGTTCAAGACCTGCCTCTGACACACATTGGCTGTGTGACCCTGGGTCAGTCTCTTAATTTCTCAGTACTCTAGACAAATCTCTAAGGCTTTGAGATGCAGAATGTCTGTGGATCTGTGTTGATAAAGGGAATTATATCACAGGAAGTTTCCTATGCCAAAAAAGTTATAGTTCTGGTACCTCCAAATTCTACACATGCACACCCCAAATATGAAGAATATAAAGGGGAAATTTCATGTGTGTGTGTGTGTGTGTGTGTGTGTGTGTGTGTGTGTAGTGTATATATACGTACATAGAGAGTTGTGTAGAATGAATAAATCAAAATCACAGTATATACACTGACAATGTAAAACTACACACATTGTAAATAGCATATTTTCATATGAGTTATAAAACTCTATAAAACCATAAAGAAAAAAAGCATAGAAAGAAAAAAGTTTAAGAGCCCCCAGCAGTGTGCCTCCCATTAACAATCAGTTAGTAATTTAATTAGCTTTTAGCTAAGGCATTCACTGTGATGATACAGCAAAAACGATTGGTATAAAGCACTCCCCTAAAAAACTGAGGGCTCACTCTCCCACAAATACACATAGCATTCATGGGAAGAGTAAGCATAAACTTAAAGTACTATGGTAGTGAAGCACGTATATAGGATATTTATGTGGCAAAAGATTAACTCATAACTCCTGACACTGCATGAAAGTCCTTTCTTTCTGTTTTTGTAGAGTCTTCAAGTAGCTTATTCTGGTGCAGGGTCACTGCTAGGGATGCTGCACAGTAAGACTCCTAGGGTCTGCTTCTTTCTTGAAACAATAGCCAGCACTCTTCTCTCTGCAAGGGGTCATGCTTCCTGGAGCTGTTTCTTCCTTTGAGTGACTGTCCATTTGTGGCGTTTACAGATGTGCCTGTTTCTTGCTATGTGCATGGTCTTCTACCAGTTCCAATGTCATTGTTGGGTAGAAGTGAGTAGACAAAGTCTCCTGCTTTGTTGACCTCTGGTACAGCTACCTCTATAAAATGCTCTGAAGCCTGCAATCAACTCTTGAACTCCCGCTACTGATAATTCATCTTAGAAATACGGCTAGCTTGTTTTTTCTGCCAGCTGTGTTGTTCTCTTCCCAACCCAATCAAAGAGGTTAATAAAAGATAAAGGAACCATAAAGCATAGGTAAGGCAGCTAGGTGGTGAAGTTGATAGAGTACTGATCCTGGAGTCAGAAAGACTCATCTTCCTGAGTTAAAATTTAGCCTCAGACACTTACTAGCTGTGTGACCCTGGGCAAGTCATTTAACCCAATTTACCTTAGTTTCCTCATCTATAAAATGAGCTAGAGAAGGAAATGGCAAATCACTCCAGTATCTTTGCCAAGAAAACCCCAAATGTGGTCACGAAGAGTCAGCTAAGACTAAAAGATGGCTAACTATATCAAGTAAGATGGAGAGGAAAAGTCTGTCCCTTATAGTAGAATGGTCTGCCCAAGAGCTGATGGGTTCCTAATCCCTGAAAGTCTTTAAGCAAAGTTTGGTTGATCACTTGCTGGTTTATTGTAGAGGTGATTCTTTTTCAGGTACAATTTAAACTCATGGTTCTGAGATTCCGTGATGCTGTGAGTGCTGCGCATCCATAGATGCCAGTTATTTGCAAAATGTTATGCAAATATCAGATTTCCCTTTTTGAGCCAACAGATTTGGAACCTTTTCATAACAAGCTTTACTGGTACTGATGTGTAAGGCTCCTTTTCATAGAAATATATCAGTAAGATTTCAGAGTAGTCATCCCTTCCTTCCACCAAAGCAGTCATCCATATATTCCCATCACAATAAAAAAAGGCCTTAAGTGAGGATATTATGGCATATAGCAATTAGCCACCTAAATATGGATTAATTAGCACACAAAATAAGGACATGATTGTTTACAAGGAAGTTTGAGGAAGACATTTGACCATGTTATTTTCCTGCCATGATGCCACATCCAGCCACTCTATGATTTGTTTCTAGAAAGGTCATTTTAGTTGACTGCCCTATATTTCCACTCACCTCCTTCTATCCTCTCAAACCAAAATACCTTTTCCTAGGTACCATTCCCACATATGTGTTGTCTTCTCTTAGAATGTAAGCTCTCTAAGGATAGGCACCATCTCTCTTTTGTATAACCAGTACTTAACGCAGCACCTAGAACATTAGTGCTTAAGAATGCTTTTCATTCATTCATTCATTCAAATATTTAAAGGGTTCTTAGGAAGCAAACTAGCTCTTTTTGGACCCTAAAAGCAGAACTAGCTACAATGAGTAGAAGTTACAAAAAAAAAAAAAGAAATTTCAGCTCAACATCAAAGAAAACTTCCTAATACTTTGAGCTATCCAAAAATCAGAATAATTTGTCTCAGAGTAAAGAGTTCCCTGTCGCTAGTGGTATGCAAGTGGTGGCTGGATGTTTACCTGATTAATCTGGGTAGCAGGTAAAATAGATGAGCCCTGAGATACCTTGTAATTCTATGATCAAGCGCTACATATTACATGCTAATTTCTGGTAGACTAAGATCCAGAAATAGATTGTACCTTTCCCAGGATCACAGTGCCAAGGCATGTCAAAGCTTGGATTAGGACTTGAAGAAACTGAATTTTCTGGTTTTTTTTCTTTCATGTATTAAGCCCGATTTGCTCTCTCATTGACAGATTTGGTGTTTTTTTTTTCTCCTTCAGGTTGAACTAGGCATGGGGTGTCTGTTGCTCAACACCACCCAAGCAGAGGCTGTGTGATGTGTGAATTGCGAACTTACATTTAGTACGAACACTTCTCAAGGGTTGGTTTAGGTCATCACTATGATGGAGGAACCCATGCCTGTGGAGGAAAAGAGTCAGCCCCCAAGTCCTCATCATGGCTCCCTCAGGAAGGCAATGGCTGCTGCCCTGGCTCTTGATGGTGAAGCCACAATGGGCCGAAGGAAAAAGAAAAAGAAGGCGTCTCGGCCAGAATCTATTATTGTCTACCGGTTAGAAAATGAGAAAGCAGATGAGGAACAGGAGGAATATGAAGGAGAACGTTCCGTAGAGGAAGAGGGGGACAAGTTCCTTGGCCACCCTATGGCTGAGGGTAAGTTTCTCTGGGGTCAGTGGTTTCCCATCATTGGGAAAGTGACCATGTAGAAAATCAACTATTTTCTATCAGTTGGTTCATTTCTTTTAGAAGTGTTACAGGGCTTGTAATGCTTTCTAATTATGCTTAGAAAAGTAGGGGTGGCTGCTTCTAGGTTGATCTGTTCAATAAAAATTGATACATTTTACTTTTGACACAGTAGATACTTCCTAACAAACACTCAAATGGCCTTCCTCTCCAGTATTTCCAGAAAACTGTTAAGAGAAGAAGCATGTCACTGATGAAAATCCAGTGACTCTGGAATCAGAAGACTTGGGTTCAAATCCTGACTCTGATGTTCATCTGTGTGGCCTTGGACAAGTCACTTAACCTTCGTAGATCAGTTTCTTCAATTGAAAAGTGAAAGGGTTGGAAAAGATGATTTCTCAGTTCTCTTCTAGCTCTAACTGCTGATCACATGATCTATGATCCTAAAACCACCTAATAGGGTTTTTGTGGCTGATAGCATGTCAGTTTCTACATTGATATTTTGTTTGTGTATACAACAATGCGTATCTTTTTTTTTAATTTTAATTGTTTTTTCTTTTTGTTTTTTTATGTTTTTTTCCATATGCTTTTGAGTTGAAAATTTTTCTCTCTTTTCCTCCCCTCACCCTCCCCAAGACGGCACACAATCTGACATAGGCTTTACATTTACATACCCATTAAGCATATTTTCACATTAGTGAAGTTGTAAGTAAAAATTAAAGCCAGTAGGAGGAACCATCAGAAAGATGAAACAAAACTCAACAGAAAGGGTAAAAATAAGTGATAGCGATTGGACTTCCATAGTTCTTTATTTGGATATGGACAGCATTTTCCATCCTGAGGCCTCTGGAGATGTCTTAGATCCTCGTAATGCTGAGAAGGGTTCAGTTTAACATTCTTAGTCATTGTATAACGTGGCTGTTATTGTGTAACAACAATGCATATCTTGACCATATGGTGTTACCATTGATTCTTAGATCTCTCAGAGCTGACTTCATTTACATTCTTCAAAGATTAGCATATCCCTACTGTCGTACCCTATTCACCCCAGTGATTCTTAACCCATAGTTATCATTGTACAAACTCCATTCTCTGTCACCACACTACTGTTTGCTTCATTATTTCCATCCCCCTCAACTGAATCCACCTCAGCATCCTACTTTAAAGCAATCTTCCCCTTACACTGTGCTCTCTGGAATGCTTTGTCCAAAGCTAACAAATATGCTTTCATCTTAAACCTTTTGCTTTCTCACTCTTTCCATCTTCTTGCATTCACTGAGATGTGGTTCCCTCCTGATAACACAGCTTCACTGGCCACCGTTTCCAGCACTGGTTCTACTTTCAGCCATATCCCTGAAACTCCTAGTTGTGAAAGAGAGGGAGCTGTATATTCCTTGTTCCTCATTGCCACTTCCAGACTTTTTCTCTACCATCATCACTCAGGAACATCTCCTCCTCTGAGGTTCATCCAATCTATAGTCATCACCCAGTTAAGGTGCTGATAGCTGTTATCTGCTAACCTCCCAGACATTCTCCTTCCTTTCTCAATGATTCAGTGCCTGGCTCACAGTCTTCCTCTTCTCAACTCCTACTGTCACACTAGAGGATTTTAGCATCTAACGCCCTCATTTTCCAGCCCTCCAACTTGATCATTTCCTATGACCTGCTTCTACCTCAGCTGTGGTCATGACCATGGAGACATGGTCATATTCCTGGTTTTTCCATCACCTATAAGTGTTCTACTTTCATGTTCATGAACTCTGTATCTGATCATAATCTATTTTCATTCCACCTTTCCCTCTACCTCACAAACACTGACCCTGTTCTTTATTATCTCTGTAACCTTTAATACCTGCATCCCTCAGTTCTTTCCCAGGTTTGTCTTTTTGCCTCAAGTCTCCCTCCACTCTACTACATCCTCCACTCATGTGCCAAAGTAATTTTCTTACAGCACTGGTCTAAGTATGTCAAACTCCCTCCCCCCCCATGCAATAATCTGCAGTGGCTCCCAGTTACCTCCAGATTGAATAAATCCTCTTTTGGCTTTTAAAGCACTTTGGGTTACGAGGGGGGAAAACAGCTATAAAAAAGTCCCAAATTTTTGTTGCAAAATTTTAAAATTACTAAAGCAGCAGCTGAATCATCTAAAGTATTTGAAGCATTAGAAGGTGGGGAAAGGAGCCACACAAGATATCCTGAGAGATATCCTCAAACAAATAAATGATACATTCAAAAATATTAAGTAAGAATCAGCAACAGTGAGAAAATCACAAGTCCAAAAAAAAAAGAGCTAGAAGAAAGCACAGAATCACAGGAGGAAATTAAACTATAATTAAGATACTGTTTAAAAAAGATTAGGAAGAAATAATGAAAAAAAATGGACACATTGAAAAATCAATCAATTAAAATGGCATACAAATAACCAAGTTTTAAAAACTTAGATATTTATAAAGTCAGTTAAGTAACATATCTAAAAAGAAAGAAAAAAAGCAAAGAAAACAAAGCAGTGGGTCCAGCTAAGTTCATAAGCATTTTCTACTAAAATGTTAAAGAATAAATAACTCATTTGCTTTATAGACTGTTTTAAAACCTAAAGGTGGTAGGTTACCCAGTTCCTTCTATGAGGAAAATACTAAATTATTAGTAACCGTTATTACTAAACTATTACTGAGCTTTAAATTATTAAACCTTTAAACTCTACAAAGACTTACAGAACACCTCGTACAGTTTTGACCCCTAAATTGAACACTGACAGAGGTGAAATGTATGTATGTAGGTCAATATAATTAGTGAATATTAACACACACAAAAATAGAAAATAAAATGCTTCCAAATAGAACACAACAGTACAAAAAAATTATATACTATGGTCAAGCAAGATTTATACATAGAATTTAAGAATGATTAAATAATAGGACATGAAAACAAACCATATTGATAAGATAAAAAAGAAAGACACATCATACCACTAGATGAATAAAAATCCTTTAATAAAACACAGTACTTACACTAAAACTTTTTTAATAGAGGAAGAGAAGGATCTTTCCATGTTAGTATAAAAATATATGTTTGAAGCTCTATATTATATAAACTAGAAAAACACTAAAAGCATTTCCATTAAAAATTATTGTTAAACATGGGTGTCCATTCTTTCTACTCCTAGTCAATGTCATTTTTTAGAAAACATTGTAGTAGCAACAAGGCATGAAAAAGAAAGTGAGTGAATGAGTATTTATTAATCACTTACTAAGCATCATGCCAAGTACTGAAGATACAAAGAGAAAATCCATTCCTTGCTTTTAAGGATCTCACACTTTAGTTGAGAGAGACAACAGCTATAAAAGAGTTCAACTAATGAAAGGAACTGAAAATCCTAAGGGTGCAACAGTTGGTCAGATGGTAAGGCCCAGGTATGAGTATTAGCAATGAAGAAGTTAAAATATCTCCTTTTGCAGATGAGTTATTATCCATAAATCATAGGCAATTTATGACACATAGAGTATTTATCGTCTCCCCCTTAGCTTTCCTTTCTACTGGGCATGAAGTTGTACCTTAAGGTTGTTGAATTATATTTATCTGATCACTGGGGAATTTAAGCTTCTTTTCATGTTATTAAATTAATTTCCTCCTTAGGAAAATATCTGATCATGTCCTCTGACAGTTGCCTCATTGGGAAGTATGTATTATTAGTCTTAAAGGTATGCATAAATTTTGTTTCATTTCATTTATTTTTTAGATTCTGAATGTCAGATTTTATCTGATAGAATTACTACAAACATGTTGCCCAATCTTTTTCTAGAAAATATTTGTGAAGCATAAGATAGTCAACCAAAAATGTGTGGTGGCAATATGTGGTCCTCATTAGTATAGTAGTGAGTATCCCAACCTGTCACAAGGGAGATGGGGGTTCAGTTCCCCAGTTGGGAGCTAGGGCATCTAAGTATCATAGTGAATAAAGTGTGGGCCTGAAGTTAAGAAGACTCATCTTCCTGAGTTCAAATTTGGCCTTAGTCACTTACTAGCTGGTGACTATGGGCAAGTCACTTAATCCTGTTTGCCTCAGTTTCCTCATCTGTAAGATGAGCTGAGAAGGAGATGGCAAACCACTCCAATGTCTTTGCTAAGAAAACCCCAAATGGAGTCACAAAGAGTTGGACAAGACTGAAATGACTAAACAACAAATATGTGACTTTAGTAAAGTAGAGGGATATGAGATAAACCCACAGAAACACCTACATTTCTGTATACTACCAATAAACACAAAAAGAAACTGATAAAGAAAAAAACTTTCCAAAAAATGTTTCAATGAGTAACTAGCAAAGTTATTGTTCAAAATGTACTATAAATATTAAAAGTACTAGAAAGCAATAATTATAAAGGCTGACAGTAGAAAAAATGGTTAGAGAGATGAATTAATGGGCAGAATGAGGAAACCTAGAATTTATGTTGTTTGACAAACCCATACTCTAAACCCACTGCTGAATGTAACCATTATCCAAATTAATATTACTGGGAAAATTGGATAGCTGTATGGCCAAAAAATTATTTGAATCCAAAGTAAAGAACATTACAATAAACTCTAGTTGGATGCATGGTCTAAATATTGAAAGAAAAATTAAAATTGGGGGGGGAAAGCAATAACATTTGTTTCAGCAACGGAAAAGGATGTTTCAGTCAAGCAAATAGAAGAAAATTATTTGAGACAAAAATTGATGGGTTTGATTACAGAAAAATAAAAGGATTTTGCATAACAAGAAGCAATAACTGTACATTAATTAGATTGGTGAAAATGTTTGTAGTAATTCTGTCATATAGAATCTGACATGTAGAATCTACAACAAACTGATACATAGCTCTCTGATTAATGTATATTACCAAGTGAAGCAGTTGTGAAAGGACATGAACAAATATATTTCTAAAGAGGAAATATAAACATTTACTAATAAAATGAAAAGGTACTTGAAACCCCTAATAATCAGATAACAGCAAATCAACAACCTAAAGGTACAACTTCATATCCATTAAAAAGGAATAGGGGGAAAGATTCAGCATTGAGACTGAGGGGAAACTGGCCTCATATACATAATGGTGATATACATAGGCATGAGCTTTGTGGAAACCAATATGGTAATATGAAATATGGTTCACAAAACTGAACCTACTCTTTGACTCACTGATTCCAGTGCAAGGACATTACCTGGAAAATGTAATAAAAATTTCTTTTAAAAGTATCTACTTAGACAAAAATATACATAGCTGGTTTATAATAGCCAAAAAAGAGGACATATTCTATATTTAACAACTGGAGAGCTGAATGATTTAAAACATTATCAATATCCCATTAATATAATGGAATTTTGGGATACTATAGGTCTATAAACATGAAAAATACTCACAAATGTGAAAACATACAAAGTGAGATCAGCAGAACATGGAATCTAAGTGATGTGACTATTAAAATAAAAGAAAGGAAGAATGTAGAGCTAGAAAAAACAATCTCAAATAGACCTCCATTGGTACACTGAACAAAAAAAATTGGCCTGTCAATTCATTTGGTTCTACTCTCTTAACTACTAACAGTTTATTTAAGATTTTATTTCTTATTTATATTATTTATGGCAGTCAGGGGAGGGTTCAAATCCAGGAAACATCATGAAGGCAGTAATTTAAAACATAACATTAAAGTAAAAAGCAACATGGGAAATCATTCCATTAAAAGAGCTTTATTCATTGCTTTTACCTCTCCCCCTCATTTTCATTAAATCAATAAATTAGGTTGGGAAGTAAGCTTGAGTTCAATACTCTGCTTTTTCAGCTAAAACGTGAATGATGTAAAGGGAGCACCTTAGCTAATAAACGACTCCAGCTGAAGCAAACCTTAGAAAAAAAGATAACCAGCTTTATTCCCAATGGAAAAAATAAAAGCCCAAAGCAACTCGCAGTGAGCATGGGATCAATGGAGCACAGGTAAACCATGAACTTATGAGACCTAGCAAAGACTTGGTGCCATGCCCAGTGGTGACAACATCTCACATCCAAACCAGCAGAGAGTTCATGCCTTGGTAGGGGAGGGAGGAGCAGCTCCAATGAGATTAGCTCTACACCATGACCAGAAGTAGGCTTCAGTTGCTTTTCTACATCTATACCTTGGCCACACATGTTTCTTACATATATCTGTCAACATGTATTCCTGAGGTTTATTCACTCTTTCAACTGATCTATGTTTATGGGATTGTGTTCCAAAATTCTATGGAGGAGATGGTTTCTTGTTACTTTTTTTTTACTATGGCAATTCATGTTTTTTCACTGCTTAGCACAATGCCTGACACTAGTAGATGCTTTGTAAAGGTTTCTTAATTGATTGAAATGTTGGAGGCCAGCACCTGGTAGTGGCCCCTAACCCCGTGAGAACACCACACCCCAAGCAGCTTGTTCCGGGGCAAACTGTACCATAACGTACCAGGTCAACAGATGTGCTAACCGCAAGATGCTGGCACACTGCCCTGGAAAGTCCTGAAGGCCTATCTTCCTCTTTTGCCACGTCAACAGAAGTTTTGCTCCTCCCCGCTTCACCCTACATAAGCTTGTAATGCTAAAAAATAAAATTAGACCTTGCCTACCATCTTTTTGGTCTCACTCCTCCTTTTCACCCATTCCTTTCAGCCAGGGTCCTCCTCGACCCCCCACGTATACTGGCCCTGCAGGTCGGGGCATTGAAATACCTTTGTTTTTGGTTAATCTTACCTGGTGGATTACTATTAAAAGTAAACGTAAGAGAGAAAGGAGTCATTAGTAATGATTTGATGCAGTTGTGAACCTACAAAGTATGTTGGACCTGAGGTAGCTTATTGGGATGGACCCTTGTACAAGTTTGAAGGAGAGAGAGTCACTCTAAGTGCTACTTTTATTAATTATTTGTTTTCTAAATTATTGTTTATCTGTTTAGGTAGATGATTGTTTAATTTATTATATGATTATAAAAATGTGATTGAATGAATACGTGGATGAAAATGGTATGATTTTCTAATATTATTAGAAGTGTTAAGTATACACACAAAAGTAAGTGAAAGCAGAAACAGCTCTCTTTGAATATGCTACTTCTGCTCTAGAAGGAAAAGAATGTGGAAATTCTGGAGCTCACATTCATATAGTGCTTAAAGGATGCACTGACAAAATGGAAAATGATAAATTTTTGAGAACATGTGGGAAAATTGGAACACTAATGCATTGTTGGTGGAGTTGTGAATTGTTCCAACCATTCTGGAGAGCACTTTGGAACTATGCCTAAAGGCCTGTAAAACTGTGTATACCCTTTGATCCAGCAATACCACTGCTAGGGCTGTGTCCCAAAGAGATCATAAAAAAGGGAAAAGAATCCATCTGTACAAAAATATTTATAGCAGCTCTTTTTGTGGTGGCAGAGAATTAGAAATTGAGAAGATGGCCATCAGTAGGGGACTTGCTGAAAGAGTTGTGTTATACGAATGTAATGGAATACTATTGTTCCTTAAGAAATGATGAGCAGTCAGATATCAGAAAAAAAACTGGAAAGACTTACATGAAATGATGCCGAGTGAAGTGAACGAACCAGGAAAACATTGTATGTGGTAACAGCAACATTGTGTGATGACCAACTTTGATAGACTTAGCTCTTCTCAGCAATACAATGATTTAAGCCACTTCCGAAAAACTCATGATGGAAAATGCTATCCACATCCAGAGAAAGAACTATGGAGTATGAATGCAGATTATTTTGAATACAGATTATTTCTGAAAGCATACTATTTTCTTTCTTTTTTTTGTTTTTGTTTTTTTTTTACATGGTTTTTCCTTTGGGTTCTGATTCTTCTTTCCAACATGACTGACGTGGAAATATGTTTAATGTGATTGTACATATATAGTCTATGTCACATTGCATGCTGTCTTGGGTAAGGGAGAGGTGAGGGAGGGGAAAAAATAAAACTTAAAATCTTATAAAAGTGAATGTTGAAAACTGAAAATGAATTAATTAACTTTAAAAAGATGTACATGATACTTTTCTCAAAACCACCCCAAAAGAGTCATTAGCCCTACTCTATACAGCAGTCATTGTATGTGACCCCACTGGGACACATACTGGCAATGTCACCTAACTTCTCAGTGCTGTAGGCAACTTCCTAAGACTCAGCTCTCTAAGACTAAGTTGCAGAGAAAATGCTGACCTACATATTAATAGATAATGTTTGCTCATCCAGGACTTGAATATACCAGTGAAATCACAGGTCCAGTCCTTATCCCTGTGGATGAGTAAACTGAGACTCAAGGAGACTAATTGTCTGCTCATGGCCCACAACTAGTCAGTGTCAGAGCTGTGATTAACATCTCCATCTAACAGTATTCTTTTCCCACGTGCTGCCTCCCAATAATAATAACTCTGCTATATTTTTATGATGATGAATTGACTGAGTAATTGAACTATTTCAATCTTACCTCTTACCAAAGCTAACTGAATTTCAGTTTTAGCAAATGTTATTCCCACATATATACAAAGGTCCAAATATCTGCTTGAGCAAGCCAACTGTTTCATCAGTGACAATTCAATGATAAGTTTTGAGAAATTTCCGTCAGAGATGTAGCAATGATATGATGAAAATTCCATGCTTCTGGCCTTGACCTTTTCCTCTCTTACTTTTGCAGGTTTGTGGAACATGCCCCAAGACAGCCACTATGTCACATTAACAGGCACTATCACTCGAGGGAAGAAGAAGGGTCAGATGGTAGATATACATGTTACTTTAACAGAGAAGGAGCTGCAGGAGTTGACCAAGTCCAAGGAGTTAGCAAATGATGCTGCAGCAGAGGGAAAGAAGGCCTGCCAAATAGGGGCAGACCGAGGTCCGCATGTGGTCTTGTGGACAGTGATCTGCCTGCCTGTGATTTTTGTCCTTTCTTTCATTGTTTCTTTCTACTATGGTACAATCACTTGGTACAACATTTTCCTGGTGTACAATGAGGAAAGGACCTTTTGGCACAAGATCTCCTGCTGCCCCTGCCTCATCCTCTTTTATCCCGTCCTCATCATGGCTGTGGCCTCTTCTCTGGGCCTCTATGCTGCTATAGCCCAGCTTCGTGGTCCTGGGGAGCATGGTGGCTGGCTGCCCGGGACATGGAGAAAGGCTTTTGTGGCTGGCTCTGTAGCAAGCTTGGCCTGGAAGACTGCTCACCCTACAGTATTGTGGAACTGCTTGAGTCTGACAACATCTCTGGCAGCCTCTCCACCAGGGATCCCACACAAGGGGAAGAAACCTCTGCTGTCTAACCACCCCATTTCCCCTTAGGCCCTTGTTCTCTTCTAGAGTGGGCCAACAGCATTACTCTTTATGTGCCATTTCAAATTTCTGAAGAGTACATGGGAACAATATCTAGGTCAATGATACCTTCCTTGTTCTTATGAGTAAACTTAGCTTTCCCTAGATATTCCTTCTAGTATCTGTCAACCTGCCTACTTTGGTGGCTCAATCTGGAAGCCCATGGTGGCCAGGAGAGAAGGAGATGGGGCTGGATGGTTAGGTAGAGAAAGTGTGCCAAAGCATTTTTTCTTCCCTGCTCCAAAGTGATAACATCTGGATTAGAGAGGAAGATAATGATAATGGCTTTCTGACAGCAGCGTGAATCATGCCTCAGTTCCCAACTTGGTTACATTCTTCAAACCCAGGATAATATATGACTCAGGTGATTCTGTAGGGAAAGGGAAGCAAAGGGAGACCAAGTTCATTAAGAGAATTGGGGTGGGAGGTAGGATAGAGGATCAAACATTTAGGAAGGGAACAACCATCACATTTCACAGAGAATACAACAGCAAATAGCTTAAAATATAAAGTTATTCTCCTAGGGCTTTCATAGTTTAGCCCCAAAGGATGATAGTGTTGATTTTTCTTTAAGCTGCATATTACAGAAAGGGGGACTAAAGAAAGATCAGTGTGCACTTTGTAAATAGAGGTATAGAATATAATTTGTGCAGAGTGGGGGGTGGGTGGGAAAACATGTGTGTAATTACCAGCATAACTCTCTTAAAGTGAAGGTTGGAACTATACCTGCTGGATTTACTGAACACAGTGCCACGCAAACAGGAAGCACACATGTCCATTTAACTGAAAAAAATCTAAAACCTTCTGGGGGAGTTGAGTCAAGCTACCCTTAAAGCCAGGCAGATCCTTTCTAGCACTGAATAGCAAGTACAGTGGGGCATCTGATAGGAAACTTTAATTTGTCTTCCTGGTGCCAAGGAGTTAATTCCTCAAATTAATGTAATTTAGGTTATTCACTGTCCCTATAAAATGATCTACCTTTTCTCTCTCTCTCTTACCTAAAGATTATTTTTTATTTTAAACCTTCCCCCTAAAAATTTAAGTGAAGCTTAGAATTGCTGGTTCCTGTCTGGAGAGGCTCAGCCTTCTTTCCTATCCCGGATAGGGTCTACTTGGGATAGCAGTACAGTGAAGCTAAATCTTCACTCAGGGCATATCAGCCCTGTTTCTGGTGCTGAACTCCGCACCCAAGGAGGACTGGGATATGATGGGGATTTGGGACCTTTAAAACTTTTAACTTTAGCCGGACGTTTTTGAAGAGCAAGGATGACAACATTGGTGCTGTTTGTGTTTTTGCAGAATTTGGTTCTCTTGTGCAATAGAGACAAAGAAAATAAAAATACACATAATTTTAACATTCAGATTTTGTGTTTTTAGTATTAAGAGACTAGGTCTTAAATGCTGAGGTCCAAAAATGAAAGGTGGTATCAATACCACATGTTTACTTTAATGGGTCTTAGATTCTATCAGGGCCCTTTCCTGCTGCCAGTGACTTACTGGATTTAGTTTGAAATAACTTTTTTTTAATTTTAAATTTATTTATTTAGTTAGTTTTAGTTTTCAATATTCATTTTTATAAGATTTTGAGTTCTAAGTTTTCCCCTCTCCCCAAGATGGCATGCAGTCTGATATAGGCTATACACGTACAACCATATTAAACCTATTTCCACATTAATCATGTTGTGAAAGAAGAATCAAAGCAAAAGGGAAAAACCATGAGAGAAAAAAAAAGAGAGAAAATGGTATGCTTTGATCTGCATTCAGACTCCATCATTTTTTCTCTGGATATAGAAAGCATTTTGCATCATGAGCCTTTTGTAGTTGTCTTAGATCATTGCATTGCTCAGAAGAGCTTAGTCTAACAAAGTCAATCAATCGCACAACATCGCTGTTACTATATATACATACATACATATATATATATATATGTATGTATATATATATATACACACATATATATATACACACATATACACACACACACACACACACACATATATATATATGTATATATATACATATATATATGTATATATATATATGTATATATATATATACATATATATATATGTAATATATATACATATATATATATGTATATGTATATATAAATATATATATATATATATATATATATATATATATATATATATATATATATATATATATATATATATATATAATATATATATATATCTCCGTGTCCTGGTTACTTCACACAGCATCAGTTCATACAAGTCTTTCCACGGTTTTTCTGTAGTCTGCTTGCTCATCATTTCTTGCGGAACAATAATATTCCATTACATTCATATACCACAACTTGTTCAACCATTCCCCAATTGATGGTCATACTCTCAATTTCTGATTCTTTGCCACCACACAAAGAGCTGCTCTAAATATTTTTGTACATGTGGGTCCTTTTCCTTTTTTTATGATATATTTGGTATAGACCTAGAAGTGATATTGCTGGATCAAAGGGCATGCAGAGTTTTATAGGTTTTGGGGTATAGTTCCAAATTGCTCTTTAAATGGCTGGATCAGTTCACAGTTCCACCAACAATGCATTAGTGTTCCAGTTTTCCCACATCTTCTCCAAAATTTATCATTTTCCTGTTTCGTCAAGTTAGCCAACCTGATAGGTATAATGTGGCACCTCAGAGCTGTTTTAATTTGCATTTCTTTAATCAATAGTGATTTACAGCATTTTTTCATATGACTATAGATAACTTTAATTTCTTCATCCAAATATTGCTTATTCATATCCTTTCACCATTTATCAATTAGGAAATGACTTGGATTCTTACAAATTTGACTCAGTTCTCTATATATTTAGAAATGAGTCCTTTATTAGAAACACTGCCTATAAAAATTGTTTCTCAGCTTTCTGCTTCCTTTCTAAACTTGGTTGCATTAGTTTTGTTTGTGCAAAATCTTTTTAATTTAATGTAATCAAAATTATCCATTTTGGATTTCACAGTGTTCTCTGTCTCGTTTGGTCATAACTTCTTCCCTTCTCCATAGATCTGACAGATAAACTCTTCATTGTTCTAATATGCTTATAGTTTCACTCTTTGTATTTAAATTGTGTACCCATTTTGACCTTATCTTGGTATATGGGTGTAAGATGTTGGTCTATGCCTAGTTTCTGCCAACTGTTTTTCAGTTTTCCAAGCAGTTTTTGTCAAATAGTGAGTTTTTATCCCGGAAGCTGGAGTCTTTGAGTTTATCAAGCAGTAGAATGCTATAGTCATTGACTACTGTGTCTTGTTTACCTAATCCATTCCACTGATCTACCACTCTATTTTTTAGCCAGTACCAAGCAGTTTTGATGATTGCTGTTTATAATGCAGTTTTAGATCTGGTACAGCTAGGCCACCTTTCCTTGCATTTCTTTTCATTAATTCCATTGATATTCTGGACCTTTTGTTCTTCCAGATGAATTTTGTTATTATTTTTTCTAGCCCTATAAAATAATTTTTTGGTAGTTTGGTATGGCACTGAATAAATAAATTAATTTTGGGTAGAATTGTCAGTTTTATTATATTAGCTCTGCCTACTATTAAGCAACTGATATTTTTCCAATTATTTAGATCTGACTTTGTGTGAAAAGAGTTTTGTAATTGTGTTCATATAGTTCCTGGGTTTGTCTTGGCAGGTAGACTTCCAAATATTTTATATTGTGTACACTTAATTTAAATGGAATTTCTCTTTCTTTCTCTTGCTGCTGGGCTTTGTTAGTAATATATAGAAATGCTGATGATTTATGTGGGTTTATTATATATCCTGCAGCTTAATTAAAGTTGTTAATTATTTCAAATAGCTTTTAGTTGATTCTCTAGGATTCTCTAAGTATAATATCATATCATCTGCAAAGAGTGATAGTTTTGCTTCTTCATTGCTTATTCTAACACCTTCAATTTCTTTTCTTTCTCTTATAGCTAAAGCTAACATTTCTAGTACAATACTGAGTAACAGCAGTGATAAAAGACATCCTTGTTTCACCCCGGATGTTATTGTGAATGCTTCTAGCTTATCCTCATTACATGTAATGCTTGCTGATGGTTTTAGATAGATGCTCCTTATCATTAAAAAAAAAAACTCCATTGATTCTTATGCACTCTAAGGTTTTTGTTTTGTTTTTTTTCAATCTAAGGTATTAATGGTTTATTATAGCCTTTCCCTCCATCCTATGTGCTCCCCACACCATTTATTTTATTCTCTCTCCTTTCACCCTCTCCCTCCTCAAAAATGTTTTGCTTCTGATTTCCCCCTAAATGTGCCCTCCCTTCTATCACTCCCCCTTCTCTCTCTAGTGTTTTTAATAAGAAGGAATGCTGTATTTTGTCAAAAGCTTTTTCTGCATCTATTAAGATAATCATATGATTTCTGTTAATTTTATTGTTATGCTGATCAATTATGGTCAATTATGCTGATAGTTTTCCTAATATTGGACCAGCCCTGCATTCCCAGTATAAATCCCATCTGTCCATAGTGTTTTATCCTCATGATAAGTTGCTGTAATCTCTTTGCTAATATTTTATTTAAAAGATTTGTATCAATATTCATTAGGGAAATTGGTCTATAATTTTCTTTCTCTGTTTTGGCTCTTCTGGTTCAGGTATCAGCACCATATTTGTATCATAAAAAGTATTTGGTAATATTCTTTCTTTGCCTACTTTTCCAAATAGTTTGCATAGTATTGAATTAAATGTTCTTTAAGTGTTTGGTAGAATTCACTTCTAAATCCATCTGGCCCTGGAGATTTTTACTTAAGGAGTTCATTGATGGCTTGTTCAATTTCTTTTTCTGAATGGGGTTATTTGAGTATTTTATTTCCTCTTCTTTTAATCTGAGCAATTTATATTTTTTAAAAAAATATTTACCAATTTCACTTAGATTGTCAGATTTATTGGCATAGAGATGGGCAAAATAGCTTCTAATTATTGTTTTAAATTGCTTTTCATTTGGTGGTGAATTAACTCTTTTCATTTTTGATACTTGTAACTTGGTTTTCTTCTTTCTTTTTAAATCAAATTAACCAAAGTTTTACTGCTGCGGACGCCTGTATCCTCGGCCGTGATTAACTGCCAGTTGAATATGGAGAGAGAGAGAGATACACACGCGGGCCAGGTGGGAGTCAAGTCAAGAGCAAGCTCTGTCTGTTCATCTGAGGGTTAGGGTTTTTATGTCTTTGACTCAAGGGAATATAACCCAATGTAACAGCAAACAAAGCAGCAAAGTTTACATATCTTTACCAACAGACAACACTGAGAATTTTTCTGGCAGGAATACCAATCAAAGTAACAACAAGCACATTTCTCCTTGCAACATTATCCTGGCTGTTTCCTTATCTCCTGGGAACATTAATCAGGGAGTCATCCTGTCCCTTTTTCTGATTTCCTTGTAATCTCCAAGGGCATCCTGTTCTGCAGCACAAAGAACAGGGGGTTTCCTTGCCTCCTAGCGATCTCCAAGAGCATCCTGTTATCAAGAGCCAGTACAAGGAGGGTGGTGAGCCATATATCCCTGAATTAGGTAGCCATCGGATTTAGGACAGGCTCCTGGTAATACCAGGCCTGGCCTGCATCCTTTGACTTTCAGGGTGGCCCTCTACATTTTATCTATTTTCTTTCTTTTTTCCCCCCATAAAACCTGCTCTTAGTTTTATTTATCAGTACAATTAGTTAAATAGTTTTCTTAATTTCAATTTCATTATCTCTCTTTTAATTTTCAGAATTTCTCATTCAGTATTTAATTGGAGATTTTAATTTGTTCTTTTTCTAGCTTTTTTTTTAGTTGCATGCCCAATTCATTGATCTCCTCTTTCTCTGTTTTATTCATATAAGTATTTAGAGATACAAAATTTCCCCTAGGAACTGCTTTTGCTGCATCCCAGAAGTTTTGGTATGGTATCTCATTATTGTCATTCTCTTGGATGAAGTTATGGATTGTTTCTATAATTTGTTGTTTGTCCCACTCATTCTTTGGGATTAGATTATTTAGTTTCCAATTAATTTCTAGTCTATCTTTCCATGGCCCTTTATTACATGTAATTTTTGTTGAATCATGGTCTGAAAAGGATACATTTAATATTTCTGCCTTTCTGCATTGGATTGTGAGGTTTTTTATGCCCTAGTACATGGTCAATTTTTTGGAGGTGCCATGTACCACCAAGAAAAAGGTATGTTCCTTTCTGTACCCACTCAGTTTTCTCCAGAGGTCAACCATATGTAACTTTTCTGAGATTCTATTGATATCCTTAACTTATTTCTTGCTCATTTTGTGGTTAGATTTATCTAGTTCAGAGAGGAAGTGATTGAGGTCCCCCACTAGTATAGTTTTGCTGTGTCTTTCTTCCTGT